CAGAATTTCTGATACCTTGGAGTTTGGACTACCAGTTTCTGCAGTTTTATGTACATTTCACATACAATGCAGAGAATTTCAAATGTATCAGAATTTCTGATACTTTGGACTACGAGTTTCTGCAGTTTTAAGTATATTTCACACATAAGGGACTTCAAAAGTATCAGAATTTCTGATACTTTGGACTACCGGTCTGCAATTTTAAGTATATTTGACATACAGTACAGAGGATTTCAAAAGTATCAGAATTTCTGATACCTTGGAGTTTGGACTACCAGTTTCTGCAGTTTTATGTACATTTCACATACAATGCAGAGAATTTCAAATGTATCAGAATTTCTGATACTTTGGACTACGAGTTTCTGCAGTTTTAAGTATATTTCACACATAAGGGACTTCAAAAGTATCAGAATTTCTGATACTTTGGACTACCGGTCTGCAATTTTAAGTATATTTGACATACAGTACAGAGGATTTCAAAAGTATCAGAATTTCTGATACTTTGGACTACGAGTTTCTGCAGTTTTAAGTATATTTGACATACAATGCAGAGGATTTCAAATGTATCAGAATTTCTGATACTTTGGACTACGAGTTTCTGCAGTTTTAAGTATATTTCACACATAAGGGACTTCAAAAGTATCAGAATTTCTGATACTTTGGACTACCGGTCTGCAATTTTAAGTATATTTGACATACAGTACAGAGGATTTCAAAAGTATCAGAATTTCTGATACTTTGGGCTACCAGTCTGCATGCGCAGTTTTAAGTATTTTTGAGATACAGAGGATTTCAAAAGTATCAGAATTTCTGATACTTTGTAATACCAGTTTCTGCAGTTTTAAGTATATTTCGCATTTCAGGGATTTGAAAAGTATCAGAATTTCTGATACTTTGGACTACCAGTCTGCAATTTTAAGTATATTTGACATACAATGCAGAGGATTTCAAAAGTATCGGAATTTCTGATACTTTGGAGTACCAGTCTGCAATCTTAAGTATATTTGAGATAGAGAGGATTTCAAAAGTATCAGAATTTCTGATACTTTGGACTACCAGTTAATTTGCAGTTTTAAGTATATTTCACATATAAGGGATATGAAAAGTATCAGAATTTCTGATACTTTGGACTACCGGTCTGCAATTTTAAGTATATTTGACATGCAGTACAGATGATTTCAAAAGTATCAGAATTTCTGGTACTTTGGACAACCAGTTTCTGTAGTTTTAAGTATAGTTCACATATAAGGGATTTGAAAAGTATCAGAATTTCTGATACTTTGGACTACCAGTTAATTTGCAGTTTTAAGTATATTTCACATATAAGGGATATGAAAAGTATCAGAATTTCTGATACTTTGGACTACCGGTCTGCAATTTTAAGTATATTTGACATGCAGTACAGATGATTTCAAAAGTATCAGAATTTCTGGTACTTTGGACAACCAGTTTCTGTAGTTTTAAGTATAGTTCACATATAAGGGATTTGAAAAGTATCAGAATTTCTGATACTTTGGACTACCAGTCTGCAATTTTAAGTATATTTGAGATAGAGAGGATTTCAAAAGTATCAGAATTTCTGATACTTTGGATTACCAGTTTCTGCAGTTTTAACTTTTAAATATATTCGAGATATACAGCTAGGGTTTCAGAATATTTTAATTGGAGCATCTCATTATCTTTAAAATTTTATGCTGCTTGATAAGGTGCAAAATATAGATTTTCGCATTTCCAAGATTATGTATTGTAATTTGCTTATTCATAATTCTTGGTAGTCCGTATCCTCTATTTTTGCAGAAAAAAATTGAAGGTCAGCAAGATTTTTTGAAAACGATTGTTTATGTTGACGAGTTTTTCTATGGAAACAGTTTTCGCGCTTTAAGCGTGATTTTGTATCATGCTTTTTTCTCAAATATCAATTTTTTCGACTTATTTTACAGATAGCACAAAGCCATTCAAACATTTTTAAAACCTTTTTTTATATTTTGCGGAAAATTAGTACAAAATCTGCAAAATGAGAGGAAAATAGCCAAAAAAATGAATTTTGGAAAATGCAAAGATAGTTTGGAACGCGTTATGCACGTCAAGTCTGTTCAAACGATTTTGCCAAGCATCGTTCATTTGAATTTACTGCTTGTGTTTGTGGAAATTTTCTTTAATTTGTAACATTATTTTCGAATAACACAATTTTCTAGAAATTTATCAAACGCCAGCATTAATCGTATTGAGGAAAACGCTTTTTCTGGATTGCTCAATCTGACAACACTGTAAGTTTGCTGAAGAATTCAGGTTTGGTATTATTAAATCTGGTATTATTATGATTCGACCAATCAGCGCATTTGTTGACAATCTCGCTCTAGGCCAATCAGAATGCGTAATTGACTATTTGCATAATAGACTAAATTTTGATCTAAACAAGTCTAGACAAAAATTTCATCACAGCTTGAAAGAGCATCACAAAATTAGTAATATTCACAAAATAAGTTTCGTTGCGAAATGTCGTAAAATGCAGATAATATAGCCTTGCGAAGTTTGCAATTTTTAGTCATTTTAGTTTACAAACGGAAAATTGACAGCCCCAAAGAGTATTGGGCTGTCAATTTCCCGTTTGTAATCTAAAATGGCTGAAAATTGCAAACTTCGCAAGTATTTTATATTAATCACGCGTTCTGGATATATTTTACTGAAATTATAGAGGCCATGCAGATTATTTATTACTAGGAAGCGTTAGCACGAATTAATAATTATATTAATAATTTTCTTTGACTTTGACGTTCGTGCTTCTATTTTTTATCTTGAAAATTATAGAGATTTGAGTAACAACCAAATAAATGAGATTCCAAAAGATGCTTTTAACGATCTGACAAAGTTGGAAAAACTGTAAGTATTTTATGCGTTCTGGATATATTTTATTTAAGGCGGAAGCCAGATCTCAAAATTTTCCACTCAGATACATTGGAACGAGCTAAAGGGATATTCCCTTTCATCATTCAATCAAACTTCGACGTTTCGAGCGGAACTTCGTCGGGTAGTACATATAATCTACCCGATTAACCAATAAAATGCGTTTTGAGCCAGGGAGAGGTAGTGGTAGAGGAAATCAAATCTGAACCTCTCTATTAGCGTGGGTATATAGGGAGAGTACATGTGGATTCATACTAGTGAATACGAAAAGAATCACGCGTGATGAAAATAAACAGAAGGTGTTCTTCAGATGCTGCATGGTTCAAAATAAAAACCCGCATAAAAGAACTAGTGGGTTAAGGTTACCACAAACCTGAAATTTAGGCAATTATACGCAAGCACCAAACATACAAGAACAACTTCAGGTTGACAAATGGGGCTGCATGGTTCTTATAAAAAACCTTTAGCATTAATGCACGTTCTAAGGCAGAATACATGCATGCTTGATTTAACATCATTGCAAATGCAAAACATAGTCTCTTGTTTGGTAGTCAACGAGGATACAATTTTTCATAATTAATTCCCAGAGGCTTTTGAATAGCAGTTCTTAATGTAATATACTGTCAAAAGATTCTTTTGAAACCGCTAATTAAATATCCAAGAACAATTGTTTTTCACGAGAAATAAGAACCAGTTAAGAATCAAATCAGCCTGATTTCTCACTAAGTACCGTTTTTAAAAACCACTATTACTGCATGTCCTGCACGTCAAGTCTGTTGCAACGATTTTGCCAAGCATCGTCATTTGAATTTACTGCTTCTGTTTGTGGAAATTTTCTTTACTTACATAATTTTCAAATAACACATTTTTCTATAAAAAGGCCACTTGCGGAAAGGAAATTAACGTTTTTTCTGGATTGCTCAATCTGACAACACTGTAAGTTTGCTACACATATATCGTGCATGTATTCTTTTATGTTAAAAATTGTAGAGATTTGAGCAACAATAAAATAACGAAAATTCCAAAAGGTGCTTTTACTAAGGATTTTACCAACTTGAAAAAACTGTAAGTATCTTATAATCACGCGTTCTGGATACATTTTACTGAAACTATAAAGGCCAGATCGCAAAGCTATAAGCGATCCAGCCATCCAGGAAACATATCTTCATCAAGTAACAAAGGGGATAATTTATTACCAGGAAGAACAAGGGCAAATAATGTTAGCCAATCAGCGCGTTTGTTTACATTTTGCGTTCTTGACCAATCAGAATGCATGAAATTCGAAACATGTAAACAAAAGGAGTGAGAAAATAACACCTTGTTCTACGCCCTCGGTGACATTCGATATTAAACTTTTTTCGCCAAAACTGACAAATTCTGCTAAAGCATGCTTTCTTCTTTAATTTCCTCGGGGGGATTTTTAAAATTCGATCTAGAACGCGAAATATTTATGTTTGAATAACAGTGTTTCGACGCGCGTAAAATAGCAGACTCTCACTTGCACTATCTTTACACACACATAAAAAATTGGTAGATTTGGCAGTTTAAACTTATTTTCCCCACACCACAGCTGACATGTTTTTAAATATTACCACAGTTAATAGACTGAGATGGTTAGGAGAGTGGGCGGGGTTTACTAATTATGTTCGGTTTCCAGTTATTTCCGTCACGTGATCGGCAGAGTACACATGGCGACAAAACACAATAGAGTATTGTATTGCGGCGACTAGCTTCTTTTCGAAAAGTCTTAACAAAATCTCTCTGAATTTGGGAATTTTACATTTTTTACCTCTGGCATGCAATGCCAGGTGCCAACTGCGCTTTGTATGGCTGTGGAACAAGTCGAAGGAGTAATCTTTCGCTGTTTAAAATACCTTTTCTTGCTCGAGGCGACGGAGACGAAACCGAATTATAAAAGATATTGATTATCATGGTCTCGTCAATTAAAATAACCAAAATAGTGAAAGATAGAGAACACATATGTCACAAAACACAATATAAGCCTCAGAGTGATAGAAGTACATGTCCTTGTTCTATTTTATTTTAGGGATATTTTGGTTTACGAAAATAGAATACTGATTATTTTTAATATTTACGTTGGATTATGGTTGATTTAGAAACCCCCTAACAGGGCCTCAATAGATAAAAGCTGATTCTCGTTATTACATGCTCAAGTACAACTCCTGTACAACTCCTGATGATTGTACATTTGGTAGATACTATTATACGATTTATACCCCTCATTTGTTGTCATACCTTACATGAAAAAGGCTCATTTATTAACATATATAGTGTATAGTTGTATATTATTAAAATAGTGTATATATTTTTGTTGTTGATATAAAGGGTAAAGATGATTGAACAAAATCATGTCTTAATGGAACATTTTATTACATTACCTAGTAAGCTAAAGATGTGAACAATTACTAGCAAAGAACATGTGAGAAAAAGAAATGCCTTGAAGGAGCAGGATTTGTATTTACAGGCTCCGGGACAGCTAAATTGCAGAATACTCGTCCACTTGGACATATTACACCTGTTATTTCCTTGTAAACATGGCGAAATGAGGAAAGTATGCCAATTTCAAATGCTTCGTTCTTCAAAGACTCACAATGCATTTAATCACGAGCAACATATTCTTGGAGTTTTATCTTTAAATTTTAATTGTGAACTGTTTTGAAATAATTTTTTAATTAATTTATTTGTTTTAACAAGCTATCAAAAGTGGACGGGTATTCTGCAATCCCTCCCTTTGCTCTTTGCTGCTTTTTGTTTAATTTTAAATTTGCTGATGTAGTCTCTAGCATAGGAAAAACTGCAAACCTTTATATAAAGTTTAATAATATTTTCAAGACAAAGCTTGGTAGTTTGTTTCGGCAAGTCCTTGCATCCATGCAAAATGTTTTCCCACAGTGACTTAAGCAATGGTGACTCCAGTGCTTCATTACATAATGTATCACATG